TATATCAGTACATAACAGTATTAATAAAAATGCAATTTTGTATATAGTATAAAACTTCAAAAACAGGCCGTTATCAAACCAGAATGTGTATCGTAGAGTCTTGTCCTCTTCAGTGTAGTTGCCTATACTCTCAGACTTGATACTATTATTAAATCATATCAGTTTTGAATAAAATCTGTTGATACCAAACAGCAATCATGCAAACCAGATTTAACTAAGATCAGTCATGATAAAACAGTATAAGTCATACAGGGCTCCAGGTTAAGATAATACGAAGTTAAACATGATTACTGTGCTATATCCTGATGTTTTTGGGATAGCTGTCTGTGCCCTCAAATCTAATGCAAGTAGACAAATTGGGACAGAATAAAATCTATCCAAATAAAAAGAATAAACTCTATCTAAGCAGAGTGGTGCGAGTAATGTGGGTTTTAAATCCTGATACACTATTAACAATATCTTCTGCCATCTTTTTTAAGACTCTCCCTCCCCTTTCACTTCCCCAGGGTACAATGTGCATTTTTGGGTCTGACCAAGACTCTTGGTTTTAAATGGGGGGGGGGGTAACCTGCTATTTACCTAAGTGGTTCTGAACCTTCTCTCTCCTGGACTTGATCTCTAATTGTATTCCTTTACCTATTAAGCCTGTCTCTTTCCCACCTATCCACAAATACTGGTGTAGTTGCCCCTATTACTCTGTGGTTCTCTGTCACATAGAGCATCATTTTCTCATATTTGATTTTCAGTCCATGTACTCTCTTTCATGCTAATTATATTTCCTATAAATAGTATCGTGGTGGACCCTGCCTCCTGATCTACTCCACGTGTGGTTCTTTTTTTTTTTAATTTAGTGTATCAAGAATTTTTCTGTGTTTTAAGTAAATACTTTTTATTGTGATGTAGCCTGATTTGTCTTTTTTTTAAAATGATTTTTGCTTCCTGTGTCCTGTCTAGGAAACCATTGCCTTGGGCTGGGGATTTAGCTCAGTGGCATAAGTGCCTGCTTTGCAAGCATGTGGTCGTGAGTTCAATCCCTAGTACCAAAAAAAAAGGAAACCATTGCCTTCTCTCAAATCATGGAGCTGCTTTCTTTTGCATTCTTCGAAAGCTTTGTAGTTATAACTGTACATAAAAGTTCTTTCATGTTTAACCCAGTGATACATCTCAAATTAGTTTGTGTGTGTGTTGTAAGGTATAAATCAAGGGTAGTTTCCCTACAAATTCCTATTCCATCACTCTGTGTTGAAAAGATCAGCTTCCCTTGCGAAGATTGTTTTTGTGCTTAAAAGCAGTCCTGTAAATGAATTTGCTTTTGAGTTCTTTTGTTCTCATCCCTTGATCTATTTGTGAGTCTTTGACTTTGTTCTTTCTTGAGGTAATCTTAGATATCTTAGGTCCTTTGCTTTTCTATATACAGTTTTGAATCAGCGTTCAGTGACTATAAAAATTTGCGAGAGTTTAAGGTTTGTATTAGACTAGAGATCAATCTGAGAAAAATTGATAAACTAAATAATATTGAGTTTCCAATGCATGAACCTGGTATATCTCTCCATTAATTTAACTGTTCTTCAGTTTGCATTTTGATATGGGGGTCTTGTATATTTTATTAGACTCAAACACATAATAATTTGGGAGTTGGCAGTGTTACTTTTTAAATTTCATTACCCAGTTATTTTCTGCTGGTGTATAACAATAGTCCCCCTTTTTCTTTTTGGAGAATGGCTTGTGGGGAGGATCCAGGGCCTTCAACACACTAGACAAGTGTTCTACCACTGAGCTACACACCAGCCTCATTTTTGTGGTTTCGTCTTGTATGCTTTGCCTTGCTAATAGTTACTTTCATAGGCACCTTAAGATTGCAGTAGGGACAGTTGAATGGCTTCCTTTTGAGCCCTGTGTTTTGTTTCCTTATTCTGGCCCTGTATGAGTACAAGAGACACCTCTAGCACAGAGTGAGGAAAGCAGACACCCTGGCCTCCCTCCCCGGGTCTCAAAAGGAAGAAATGTATTTTAGTGTTAGCAATAGACTTTTCATAAATGTCCCCGATCCATTGACCAAGTTGCCTCCTATTCATAGATCTGTAAAGAGTTTTTACCAGAAAGAGCATCGAATCTTATCATGAGTAGTCTGCTTCTGTTGAACCGGTCTGATTGTTCTCTGGCTGATGAGGGACTTCCCAGTCCTGCAGACAGCCCTGGGATGTTGTGAGGATATATCCTTTGCCATGCTAATCTCAGGCCACCTCTAATGCCCGCCCCACTCTGTGAGCCTCTAGGCCAGTAGCACCTGCTCCTGCTCCAGAGCTGTTGGATGCTTTCCCAGGGAGCTCCCTCCTTTTCCTCCAGATGGCCACACTCTGCATCAGCATCCATCTCCTTGGTGACCTGTCTGTATACAATGTCTGTCCTCAGCTTAGATCTAGTAGCTCCTAAGCTGGAAACCATGACTTTCTTTGACCATACCTGTCCTTGCAGCCTCTCTGTAGGCACCTGGTCCTCCCCACGGTGCCCTCTGCAGTCTCCTCCCTGCATTCTCTTGACTTCCTTGCCTTTTCTTGATGGTTTAGCCCTGACTTAGAATATGCAGTGCGGAGGCCTCCTATGTGTCAGTGTTCTGCTTGTATCTACAAATGGCTGTAAAAACCCATGAATATTTTGGGGTTACAAATAAACTTCAGCAAAGATGACAGATTCACAGATAAAGAATCTGAATAAAGAAGATCAACATATTTGGGTATCAGATCTTTTCACCACTGATTTAATTTAGGAGATCCACGAATTTAAGAAAAATTTACTGTTAATAAACAGTTGGTTTTGTGTGTACCAGGTTTTTCCAGTCTTTAAAATTAATAAAGCTATGAATACAACACCTTTCTACTTCACCATTGAGAAAATTAATGCCAGGCAGTTACTGCAGAGTCTGATTTTTAAACTGGTTTTTCCCAGGCGCTCCCCTGGGTCACCATTGCACTCCCAGGACACAGAGAGGCACCCTGTACTGTCACCTTCCCAGTGCAGGTATCAGAGTGAAAGCAGTTGAAATTCAGCCAAAGCCGTTCTGCTCCTTAGATGCAACATCTGGGAATAATAAGGCTTCACGACCAAAATCACACGTCACAAGAGTGGCCTGTGTTTAGGTAACATTGCAGTTTAAGAGTTGGTCCCTAAAGTAGCATTTGAAGCATTTGTGGAACATCCAGAATCCACCCACCGAGTCTGCTCTCCAGCACCAGGGTCTGTGGAGCTGCCCCTTCCTGCTGGGAAATGTTAAATGAAGGGACAGCCAGGCATGGCTCTGTCCCAGCAGGGGCCCTATGCGTAGATCAGTGGTGACAAATCCATGGCTTGTATGCTACAGTGGGCTGTTGATATCATTGAAAACTTAAGATTCACCATCAGTGGAACTGGATGCACCATGGGAGCTGTGACTGGCAGGGTGAGGGCATGAGATGCAGCTCAGCCAACACTTGGGAAACAACAGAGATAAAGCAGGCTCGCCAAGAGGGGTGGAGGGCAGCTCATGGAGGTGGCCAGCAGTGATGAAGAAGGGCCAGTCTCATAGCCATGCAGTGGCCCAGGGATGGGGACCAGCTCCCAGCTCTCCTGATACCCTGCCCCGCCTCAGGCTTCTTATCACAACCAGTGTCCTCATGAGTTTCCAGCGGAAGGGACATCAGAGAATGTATGTCTGGTTCTTAGGGAGGTTTTTCGAGCCACATGTCGTTGACATTCTAGCCCAACATCCATTTCTTTAGATCCTGCCTTGTCGGGGCCATGCCCTGAGACCTCTGCTCTTTCATGAGGAGGCAGCACCTGCTCTGGATGCCATCAGGCACCCTGGCCACTTTCTAAACCATTTGCTTTTTGATCCTTGAAATAAAGATTTGTGCACTGCTGTAGGAAAGAAGGGAACCCGATTTGATCTATAAATAGGTAAAAGTAACTTAGTAAACTGAAAAGCTTAGAATCAGGTGCTTGATTTTCTACCTCTTCCATTCTGAATAATAGCTTTGCTTTTTTTTTTTTTTTTCTTTTTTTGAGACAAGGTCTCACTATCTGGTTCAGGGTAGAAGGGTAGAAGGGGACTGAGATCTGTTTGTAGTCTAGACTGGTCTCAAACTCACACAGATCTTCTTGTCTCAGTCTCTCAAATGCTGGGACCCGGTTTTTTTGGTTGTTGTTGTTTTAGACAAATATGTGCTGTGGCATTTAGGCTGTGTCTGACTCTTCAGTTCACATCATTACGTTGCCAGTACCTAGGCTGGTGTTCAGCTGTTTGCTTGTCAAATCCATGAATAGATTGCTACCATGTACTTGCTTAGAAATACTCCTCCACTCACAGTGGGGTTGCATCTCAACAGACCCATCCTGGCTTGAAAATACAAAAAATGGAATCACATTTACCATACGTGACCTGAATGCCACCCCCAGCAGCACAGCCCTATGGGGTACAACCAGAGCCTACAGAGTGCAGATTCTTCTCCTGGTGGTCTTGGGGATGACTGGGGGTCATATCACCAGCCCAAGAAAAGATGCAAACTCAGAATCAAAAGTACAGTTTCTACCAAATGCTGTCACTTTGGTACTGTCATACAGTTTAAAAATTGTAAGGTAGAACATGATAATTGTAAAACCTTCTGCAGTTCATGTCTTAATAAAATAGGTTCTTGTATCTTGTTTTGTCACTTCATCTATTAGTTTGGTTTTCTGAATTAGTAAGTGTGTTTTTAAGTCCTCGGATCTAAATCCAGCAACAGAGCTTATTAAAGGAATCCTTTTAAGTAATTCTGTGATCTGTATTCACATAGAGGGATGATCTGTATCCATAGTGGCAGCATTCCTGGGGCTCCAGAAAATTGGAATTGCCACCCCCTTGGGCTGTCCTGGTACACCAGGGGCCCGGTAGTCTCTGCCTTAAGTGTGCGTTTGGAGTGCATTTGTGTCGGGTGGATTTAGCCTGTTGACTCCAAGATGCATGTATCCACGTGTTTTTCTTTTTTTTCTGGTTTCAGCTGACACTGAAGATGTGTGCATTGTACAAAGATTGTTCTCCAGCAGCTTAGTGGCCATCGTTAGGCTCAAAGCTCTCAGGAAGCTGAAGGTTTGCTACTTTAAGAAGAGGACTGGGATCTGTAATTATAGCTACTCCAACATGATTCTGGCCGTGAAACTGAACAGGCAGGTGAGTGAGGCTCTGGTATGGATTTTAGTGTACATTGCTCCCTGTCCCTCTGCTTCCAGCCTGGCATGGTTGTCTCCTCCAGGGCCTCCAGGGTGGAGTAGAGGGTTGCACCATGCAGCTCCCACCAGCCAGCCAGCCCCATGCTGGGCACACATTGACCAGAGGCTGACTGCTCTGCTCTCTCCTCAGCAGCTTTGTCCCAACCATCACATTCATGACACTGCCTTCCCCTGCCAGGCTGTTTCACCCATTCTTTAAAGACACAAATGTTAACAACTTACTGTCTGTCTATTTGCTCATCCATGGGCTGGGGATTTAGCTCAGCAGCACGAGCTCCTGCTTGGCAAGAGTAAGATTATGAGTTCAATCCCTGGTACCAAAAAAAATTACATTTACTCATCCAGAGATGTCCAGTTTCTATATCTTTTGCTTTTATAAATATTACCTTTTAAAAACATATGACCCTTTTTCCCCTCCTTTAAATTGTCAGTTTAACTTGTATATTCTACAAAACCCAGCAGAGTTGGTGAGTAGCTCTTGGATTTGTTCAGGAGCTTCCCCTGGCTTAGGTTAGCACACGGTCCAGGTCTGCCCATTAGCTCCCCTGTGTCTCCCAGCTCTGGCAGCGCCGCACACCCTGACGGGAGGGCTGACTTGGCCCCCAGGACAGAGTGTGCAATACAGCTGGAACTGGCTTCTGGTTGGAACTGGATGAAGGCAGCCCTCTTACTAAGATACGCCTCATTAGCACCAATTTGGTCTGTTAAGTGATAAAATCGGTTAAACTGGGAAATTAAAGCATGTAATAACTTGAAGATTTTAAAAATTTAAGATACTGTAAATGTGCCTTCCTGTCCCAACAAGAACTGTGTGCATGCCAGGTTGTCTTTCTTGTCTGAATCATTCCCTCAGTGGATCCTCTAAGTCTGCATGCATTTTATATAAAATGGGCAAGAACTTGCAGCAATATAAGCTTCATTCAGAATAAAATTTACTTTTAAAAATTTTCAAGTTTTTATTTTTACTCATGCTTCATTCAGTATCAGTTTTTATATTTTTATGGATTTTTAAAATTTTTATTTGTTTGTTGGTTTGCCTATTTTGGAGACAAGTGTTTTGTTTAGGCTACCTTCAAACTTACAGTGATCCTCCTGCCTCAGCTTCCTGAGTGCTGGAATTACAAGTATGTGCCCTCACACCTAACTTAATACCAGTTTTTTTGGTGTTTTTTATGTGTTTCTTTCTTTTCTTTTTTGTTTTTTGAGACAGGGTCTTCCTGTGTAGTTCAGGCTGGCCTGGAACTCAATATGTAGCTCAGGCTAGCCTTAAAACTCACAGGCTGCAGGGCAGGGCCCAGCTGCTCCTCTTGCCCAGCCTCCCAAGTGCTAGAATCACAGGGGTGCATGTACCACCATGCTCAGCCTAGTATCAATTCTTTAAAGCAACTGCCTTTATCAAATGTTTCCAAAGCCCGCTTTCCATGTAGTTCAGCATGATAGCAAGTTACATTAGTTAGAATTCTGGTGCTCCTGTGCCCACCTCTGGCAGTAAGAAGCCTTCTGCATCCCAAACCTTCAACATCCAGCCTGTGTGGATGGATGAGTGAGGAATGGAGAGCGTCTTAACCAGGACTTGGTTAATAGAGAACCAGGGACATGTGCTATAGCAAGTGTTTCTTCATGGTAGGTTTTCTGTGTTCTCTCTAGAGGCTCATTGTGTGCCTGGAGGAGTCTCTCTACATACACAACATTCGGGACATGAAGGTACTTCACACCATCAGGGAGACCCCCCCAAACCCTGCAGGTAAATTTGTTTGTGAGAATCTTTCTGATTTTGCCTTGTGAGATCAGCTTTAGGATGCTGGGTGCGATACCACACACCTGTAATCCCAGCGCTCTGGGAGGCTAAGGCAGGAAGACTGCAATTTTTGGCCAGCCTGGATAACTTGATGACTTAACAAGACAGGGACCTCTCCTCTGAGTCCTTGGCTACGTCTGAGCCTGCTAAAAAAACTTTCTTAATTGTAACTATAGGTGAGAGGTTTTTTGTTTCTTTACATAGGTTCCATGGATGAGACCGATTTTTAAAATTGTGGCTTTACACCAGTCAGCTTTCTATTAAAGCTGATCAGTGGGCAGTACCAGCTTTTTGGTTTGCTCAACACTCAGTACATAACTGTTGCTGGCTTTTGAGGTTACTGATCATTTCAAAGCAAAAGCCTTTTTATAGTGTTGATATCACCTAAGTTGGGTTGGGGATACCAAATTTTTAACAATGCTGTTAACTTATCAAAATGGTATTTATTTGTACATTTTTAAAATAAATGCTAAATTACAACTAGAAAGACATACTCTCAGACTTGACTTGAACCTGCTGTCCATGTGTTACTACAGGCTTGTGTGCCCTCTCAATAAGCAATGACAACTGCTACTTGGCGCACCCAGGGAGTGCCACCATCGGAGAAGTGCAGGTCTTTAACATCATTAACTTGGTGAGGGCTCTTTTGTATTTGGTTAACTCTTTAGCACATTAACAATGGGGCCATAATTCATATGTCCTACTGCTCGGCACCTCTGAGGTGGACATGTTAGGTTCCGCCAGCTTATAGGTGGTAAGGTGGTACACGTGTGACTGTCTCATTTTATTAGCAAAAAGATGGATAAAAGTGATTAGATCCATGTGTAACACCAGTGACACCAGTGCCCCGATGGGACAATCAAGCATGTACCCTGGAATCTTTAGCCCAACTGCACAGTTATCACTCCTCTCAAAGGTGGAGCAGGGCTGGTTGAAGCTGCCTCTGCGGGTCCCCGAGTGCTGAGCTCCTTGCAGTGGGGGTGGCCCAGGCAGTGTGGAGACCTTCATGGAGAAAGTGCTGTGTGTCTTAGAGTCTGAGCAGCACTTGCGTAGCCCCACCCCAGTCAGTCAGGTGGACTTGATGTCGTATTGGCCAAATGGTGGCTCAATGGTGGCATTTCGGTCTGCTGACAGACAGTAGCACAAGGCACAGGCTTTCATGCATGGCAGCCATGTTTTGTTGGCTTCCCATTTCAGAGAGCTGCAAACATGATCCCAGCCCACGATAGTCCTTTAGCGGCGCTGGCTTTTGATGCAAGTGGAACCAAACTTGCCACTGCTTCTGAGAAGGTAGGTGCTGTGGCCCAGGAAGAAGTGGGTCGAAGGCCTCAGTTCCAGCTCTGTGCACGCAGACAGGTTTTAGTAATGCTGCCTTGCAGAGAAGCCATGCGGCCACGCTGGTAGCTGCCAGGGAGTAAGGGAAACGTGAGCGAGTCCACTTTCTGTCCCAGCCACAGTCTGTCTTCTAAGGAGGAAGGCCTGGGCTCACTGGCACTTTGTCCCAGGCACAGAACAGCTAAGCACAGGCTGCAGGGCAGGGCCCAGCTGCTCACCTCAGGACAGCCTGGGGAGGTGGGGACCAGGCACTGGTCTCACTTCTCCCCACCAGGCCCCGCCTCTTAAACTCCAAGCTCAGCAGCAGCACCGCCCTCATCCAGCTCATGGCCTTGGGGATGTTTACTGTCCTGACTATGACACTGTGTCATTGTCTGACAAGAAGACACACACTTGTGGTGGAAAACACGGAAAGGCACAGAGCAGATGCAACTGCATTTCTAGCCAGGCCACTGTCCCCAGTGTGTCTTCAAACTGTGATGTTCATGTTCTGTGGGGGAAAGTTTAGAAAATAAGGAAAAGTGTAAAAGTCAGAGAGAGGCCAGTAAGAACGACTGGGTTGAGATGCTGTGGCCTAGCCAGGGGGGGTGGCTCAAGCCTGTAATCCCAGCACTCTAGGAGGCTGAGGTCGGACAACCTCAAATTCAAGCCTGTCCTAGACAGTTGAGTGAGTTATTGAAACCACATTCCAGAATAAAAAGGGCCAAGGCTGTAGGTTCATGTAGTGGCTCTAGGTTCAATTTCCAGTACTGAAGAGGGGGAAAGTGATCTTTTTGGCTGTTTTGAGAAGTGTAGGAAGGTTTGGTTGTTCTTCATTTTTGAGTCAGAGTGTTACTATGTTGCCCAGGCTGGTCTCAGACTCTTCAAGCAGTACTCTTGCCTCAGCCCCCTGAGTAGCTGGGACTACATGTAGGAGCCATCATACCAGGTTGTCTTTTTTCTTTTAAGTATTGCAATGTACCTAACATTTAGTTTTCATCAAGGTATGCACAACATGAACTTTACTGGAGGTGAGCCTGCCTAGGGTATGATGCTGCTGGGGGCCATTTGTAGGGCCCGAGTGCACATACAGGATTATTGAAGTATTATTCCAAGCAAATTATGTCCAGGTGCTTTCTACAAACCAGCTTGTTTTGTTTTGTTTTGTTTGTTTGTTTTGAGGGGGAGGGTTTTTGTTTTGGATACAGGATCTCGCTGTGTAATTCAGGCTGACCTCAAACTCACAGTGATCCTCCTGCCTCTGCCCCCCGAGTGCTGGGATTACAGCCATCAACCACCATGCCCAGCTACAAACCAGTGTTGAAGTCATTTCTCTTCAGGCTAAGGACCAGCAATAAAGGCGCACAGGCTAGTTTAATATAATTGAGTGATTTTATAAGCACTTGCATTATTTAGCCCACAGTATATATGCGTTACTGAGAACACATACACAGCCATGTCAGCAGACCTGAGAAAGGAATTTCCCGGAAAGGCTCACAGACCCCTTCATTTACGCTGCATCCAGCTGTCTCACTCTAGTGAGGGTAGAGCAGTGGCTCTCCTCACATGCACTCAGGGCTTAGGGGTGCTTTGCTGTCACAGTCTGTGTTTCAAGTGCATTCTGAGCGCTGCACACAGCCATCTCCTCCCGGAAGCCCACATTGATGAGTTACCCCACTGTGGTGCTGTGGGAAGTCTGTGTCCCCTGGAATCCTCTTGTCTTCTGTAACAAGCTTGATGGCCATCTGTTTGTCTCTGTTCTGTGAATAGTAGACCCAAGTGTGTAAACAGAGTCCTGTGTGCTCACAAGCCAGTGGTGGCACCCGTTGGAACCCCCTCGTGGTAACACCTCTCACCTCTGTCCCCATGCTGTGCATCCCAAATCCTAACTCAAGACACCCTTTGAGTCGTGCTTCATTTTATCAGCGTTAGGTGACCCCAAGCATCCATAGCTGCTACAGGGGTTTGAAAACCAGATGTGATTAAGAAATTGCTGTTTTCTCAAAGAGGGATGATCACAGATTTGGCCTGTGGCCTCTTTTCTTTGCTTTTACAGTAGGTTATTTCCAGTGTCCTTGCCGGCCAGGAACTTGCAGGCTCAGGGGCTGTTTCTGCCTCAACCCCACTGAGTCCTGGGACTGTAGACATGCACCATCCACCAGGCTCCACACAGCCTTCTTTAAATACCTCCATGCCCAGAACAGAGCAGCATGCTGCCAGATGTCAGCGTGACTCTAGCAGGCTCTCCTGGTCTTCCAGACCTAGACCCCCACCTCATCTGCCATGTTGGTCCTGCTTTCCCTCCAAAGCTCTGTCCTGCTCTTCTGTCTCTTGGAGATTGTGTTTGTTTTCTTGTCATTGTTCTTTTCTGAGCACCAGTTCTCTCTGCACATGCCAGCTGCACTTGGATTTTCATTTTCTTCTCCCTGAAGTTCTAAATCGTCCTCCCCTCCTGAGTCTGCGCCTCCCTCAGTCCCACTTCCCAGGGACTTGTTATTCCTTGTGCCACCTGATCACAGCATAGCATTCTCTCATTTCATGCCAAGAGCTCAGAGCAGCTGCCTGGGCTTCTCCCATTGCTCACTGTCAGGTTTGGACTCCAAGCCTCTGATTGTGCTAGTAGCCAGGTATATCCCATCCATGGCCCACAGATCATAATCCTGGTGCTCAGCTAACTCCTGCAGGGACTGTGTGGGCAGCAAGGGCACTTGACAGGGAAGGACCAGAGCAGCGCAAACTCCACATCCTGTGCCCTGCAGCACAGTGGTCCCCTGAAGCTCTTGTGCCCCTGGGCATGTGAAACACAGCTGCCTGTCAATTATATTTCAGCCTGCCTGCACTTGTGCACCTGAAAGTGTCTGTTCTTATTATGCAGATATGTAGCTTTTCTTACTAAACTTGGGCTTGGGTTATTTCATCAAGGTATTTTAGTAAGTTAAAATGTTTTACAAAGGACACTTTATTACCTGTGTACATTAACTATATTATGTGTTTCACATGTAGTACAAGTTCCTCTTCACTCAGTGCAGTCCAGGCAAGCCCAAGGTTGGGCACCTGTGTGCTAGACCAGCCCACATGTCCCCTTGCCCAGCTCCTCTGGGAGTGTGAAGTCCTTACCCCTTAATCAAAATCTTGCTGTTATGTTTCTTCTTAGCTCTTAGTACTTCAAGCACTTGGGATTTCAAAACCACTAAAAGTAGAATAATTTTTTCCAGAATAAAGAAAACCTCTTCATTTGCATTTAAACAGAATCCAGTCTTGGGATGATATCACTGGGCTTTCTCAGGCCTGCTGTGTTCTGGGGCCAGGCCACCAAGGTGTATAACTTAATCCCGCTTTCAAGGAACTTGGTATCATGTCCCCTTGCAGCCCTTAACTAGTACAACAGAGTGAATTGCTGTTGGTGGCCTACACCTCTAAGCCCAGCACTCTGGGAGACTGAGTCAGGAGGATCACAAATTTGGGGTCAATTTAATGACTCCTTGTCTCAAAGTAAAAAAGGGCCAGGTAGCTCAGTGCAAAGGCCCTGGTTTGAGCTGTAAAGGAGAAGCCCTTCGCCTTGTTTTTGTGTGTGCATGCGTAAAACATCGTGTCCCTGTGACTCTTAGAGCTGCTCACTCAGTGGTGTCCTTGCATTGCATCCAGAGGGAACCACTGCTCTCCAACTCCATGTCCAGAAATGACCTGCCTCGCCCGCCACAGTCTGCTTTCTAACCACCTGCACTGTGTCCCCTCCTCGGCCCACTGCGAGTTAGATAAACAGCTCCTTTCTGTGCCGTGCTTCAGTGGTCTGCACCTTTCTGGCTATTTATAAACATGCAAGGTTGCCCTAACCATTTTTATATGCAGCAGTCTAAACCTTCTAAACTGTGGTGTGAGGTTGAAGGTTGAATAATTCTTCCTACTCACAAATCTGAAATGTGGGCTGTTGAAAGGTTTCCGTTCCGTTTGTCCGTCTATTTCTTTTTGTGCTCCTTTAATGCCAGCATTTAACTGAACATTTTGATAGTCTCATGTTGGAAGTCCTGTTCACTTCTCCTCTTGGCTTCTGACTCATACTCATTCTTTTTTAAAATTTTATTTAAAGAAAGAATAAACAAAACAGAAAAGTGTAGATTTTAAAGAAAAACAGAAACCACTAGTTGATAATGACATATTGTCCTCTTATAAGTAGTTGTTCAAGTTACAAAAGGGAAGCATACAAAGTGGACATTCAAACAGCAAGACAGCAAACAGTTCTGTTCAACTATCCAACAAAAACTTAGTAATATGGTTAACAATCCCATACACTTAAACATACATGCAGTTACCCATATCTTCATATATGTTAAGATTAAACAAACTAAAACAGGCTAAAATCACTCTGAACAAGGAATAATAGTATTGCTGAATTTCACATCATGACACTCCGGGATCAGCACTGGGTACTGTAGTGTCTCTTTTTCTTCAAAGTAGTTGTTCATTTCATCATGTATTATAAGATCAGTTCTCATAGACTGTTTATAGGTTCTACGCATGCATGAGTCTCTAGTGTATTTCTATCCTTTCTATATTAGAGGGAGAAACAAAACAAAGCAAGGCAAAACAAAACATATGCCTATAAACACATGAAACGAAATGTCATGTAAAACCACAGTAAAAGGTGTTCTACAATGGTTAATGTGTTGTCTCTTGTTATCTTCAATAGAATTGTCTATATCATTAGGCATAGTATAATTGAATATAGCAGTACATAACAATATTAATAAAAATGAAACATTGTAGATAGTATAAAACTTCAAAAGCAGGTAATAATCAAGCCAGAATGGGTATCATAGAGAATCTTGTCATCTTCAGTCTAGTTGCCTATACTCTCAGACTTGATAATAACAGTTTTGAATAAAATCTGTCGATACCAAACCAGATTCAACTAAGATCAGTCATGGTAAAACAGCATAAGTTATACAGGGCTTCAGATTAAGTTAATAGGGAATTAAGGATGATTACCATACTATATATCCTACTTGGGGATAGCCCTGTCTGTACCCTCAGATCTAGTGCAAGTAGACAAACTGGGACAGAATATAATGTATCGAAACAGAGCAGTGTAA